TAGGCAAGGCTTGACCGCAACATGGCGGCAGTCGAGGTTAACTAATATCTTCCCGTCAGCTAGGTAATCGGCAAACTGCAGAAGGCGCAGGGAGAGAAGATAGAGCTTGGCTGAATAGTGACATCTAGACCTGTCCCGACTGACTGGGAAGGACCAAGCCGCCCATTTGTGGTAATGATACCGGCCATTACATGCATGGCCACCTGGCCGTACATATTCTAACAGGTACTAGAGTCCCCCCCCCGCATACTCGAATATTCACTAGGAAGCCGGCGATCAGGCAAGTACGGCAGCAAGCAAGTAGAAGTAAAACGGCCGAGAGATAAGGAACGACAACTGTCGTGCCAAGCTAAGACGGCTCTTCTAAGGCGTACCGGCATGAACCTTGAGCGCGGTGAAATATGACTGGGCAGGTTTTCGTCCTAAGCACAGTGGCGTGCTGTTGCCGTGCAGGAAATTATTGTTATCAACCCCCGATCGTCCCCAGTCGATAATCGACAAAATCTGGTATGTGCACTTGCCAATAAGACGAGGCGGCCGATCTTACGGATGCCTGCTTGCCGACAGACGCAGACGGAATATACAGGAGCAGCAAGCAGGCGGAGATGCGGCTCCCAATGAAAATGCGGTAAAGGACGCGATGGAGACCCAACTCTCCGCAATGGCTTGCTCATTATACATACATATAGATATACATGCGTACCTATTACCTACAGTACCGAGCAGAACCGTACAGGTTTTACGCGCTTATACCGCAGCATGTGGTTATGTAACAGGTAGGTAGGTTCTCGGTCCCCTTCGGGGCTGAGCAGAATCTCGGATCGGGCCGGTGGGATCTGTTAATTCAAGAAGAGGTTGAGGTCTCCGTGCTTCCTTTCACCATCTGCAAACAGGGGAAAAGGGTTCCCCCTCAAATTTCTCTCTCAACCCACAAAGCCCAAAACTTCAAGCCCAACTACTAAAAGAAAAGGGAATGGGTAATAGAAAATAGGAAAAACCTCCACCGCTACAATTGGTTTTCGCCCCCATGCCCCCCTCTCTACCCCCTGATATGGAGGCAACGTGGTGTACAATCGAAAGAAGCGATTGGTTTTTTCTTTTACGTTTCCTACCTTAGAAACCAGACAGATCTCCTAACTGCAAATAGTCTAAACCGCTTAGGCGATGTGACGCATCAGATGCAGAAGCTCTTTTCGTGGGTTTCCTTAGCCTTCTTTCCCCCCCTTCTCTTTTAGGCTTCCCCAAGAAACGTGGGTTTTTTCTTTTCTTTTTCTTTTTTACTTTTTTCTCATTGGGGGGTTGAAGGAAAAGAAAACCCAATTCTATTACATTATCTGAGACCAATTGTTTTGTGTAATGAATTAGGTACCTTACCTAAACCAACCCTTTTTTTTACTCTTCGCATATACCTAGTACTAACTTACCAAGTATTCTATTTTTATTTTATTTTATTTTATTTTTTATCGTTTCAGCAGGGCCACCGGATGCGCTCTTTTCCGCGGGTGCCCTTTGTCCGATATTTTGTTATTATTATCTTAACGCTGTGCGCTTTTGATAGGTTCCGGCTGGAATTGGTGACCAGTTGTATTGATTAATTGGTACCTTGTAGGGCTCCGGCGATGCAACCGATGTGCGTATAACATCAATATGCAGTCTATCAATGCAGTACATGTAGGTAGCTACCTATATTGGTTCTAGCAACAGCACAATGGGTGGGGGCACCTACAGTGGGAGAAAATAAAAAACGTCCAATTTTGGTTTTGCGCAGCATTAGTAAAAATAAAAAACGTCCAATGCAGATTACTTATACTACTTACTTTTTACTTTATTAAACAAGCTTGCATTAATAAATAAAATAAATAAAAATATATTTTATATGTATTAACTATTGCTTTATAATATAATAAAATTTATTTATTTTATTCGTTTTGTTTTGCTATTGTAAATAATATTTAAAGTTTAAAGGTTACTTTTGATGTTTAGACGTAAAATTTTTTTTTTCGCGCTGGGTTGAAAATAAAATTGGACGTTTTTTATTTTCTCCCACTGTAGGTACCTAGGTTAGTTTACCTAGGAGTTTAGGCCTCTTTCCAATGTTGGGGAATACCTATGTCGGAAGGAAAGGCATCGGGAGCACCGGACGGAGCTCATTGTGAGGATGACGTCGTTCTTTGTTTTGTATGTCTGCCGGAATTGGTCCATCTAACCGATCAGCCTACCTAACTAGGCAATGCTATAACAAGCTCTACATAATCTAATAATAGGTAAGCCAAGCCGAGTATAGCGGCGAGTATACATACAATAGTCTATGTAATAGATATTCGTACAACATTAAAAACAGCAAAACTCCAGGACGGAACGTATGTTGCATTAATAGTTCCGGTTCCCTTTGCATTTAATCAATTAATAGAAAGCTGCTGTGTAATTACCGGTTGTCATCAACCGTGCGTAGGTAGGCGTAGGTAGGTACCGAGACAGTCATCTCGTTTATAAATCTAGACTCATCAAACTCCCCAAGGTTCCTCGTGAATAAATTGATATTAATTAATGATGGCCATATCAAATGACGTTTATAAAATTTGAATATTAACGAACGAAGTTGTCCACATTACCATTGATGTCAAACTGATAAATAGCAACCAATGACCGTGTTGCCTATAAGTTTAAGTTAGTACTTGTCAACTAACCATTGACAACCACCTTGATATGCATCAAACTACTTCAGGTATTACATACCAAACGTCGGTTTTAAACCTGAACTTTCATTTTTCCTACCAATAATGTACCACTGAAGGGTTTCTATCGTTAGCATATTCTTAGTCTATCGTCGGACGGCAAAGCTAGAATGAGGGCTCAGGGGGGCGTACTCCCTCGCCGGGGCCATGGATTCAATAACACCAGACACTTCCGGCTATAGCTACCTACCTACCTATCTACCTACAAACATAATCACATGCGATCCACCCATATCTTCCGTCATCTGAGAAGCCTGTGATAGCCTACTTCCTGCTGCTGCCCGAGGATATTCGTCATCATGAAGACCACGATGCGACCACAGCAGCAGCAGAAATCAAGACATGGCACATCACCCCCCCTCATATCCCGCGCAGAACCACCGCCGCCGCCCGACCACGACGGCGAGAATATGCGTTTCGAGCGGATTATGCTGCTCCCACCTCCTCGCCTTCCTTCCTCAACAAGGTGTCCTAGCGCGCCGGCCGCGTACTGCGGACGTGCTACGGCGGTAGCCGTGGCGGGACCGCACGGCGCAGGACGAAAGGGGGGGCGCTGGAATCGATCCCTGGGCAGTTTCCACACGTAGAAGCGGTTGCAGCAGAGCCGTCTCCGCCGCGACGTATCATCACAAAGGGGGCCGCGGCTACGGAGACCGGAGGGGTACGAAGATAGTGGCCGAGACGGGGTTGTTAGGGACTCGCGCGGCGCCGGGGCGGGAAGGGAGGCGGCAGCGGAGAAAAAGTGTACGAAGAAGAAAGAAGACGCGCGCGAGCCGGAGGCTGGCGGGGCTGCTGCTGCCCCGGAGCGGTGGGATACCCCAGGGCGTCTCGACGGTAAGTAAGAGAGACTGGAATAGCCTGGGATTTCCGTCGATGGGGGGATGCTGAGGCTTTCCCAAGGGGGTTTGCTTGTATTGGTATAAGTAGTTATGGGGAGGGGTTCGTCGGATAACGCATGACATCTGCAGCGGGTCTTACCTAGGCAACTAGCTGCGGACTTGAGAGCAAGTCTTTGCGCGTGTATGTATGAGAATAGTCGATATGATGATGATGATGATTTCGTTTACTTCCAAAGGACAGGCTATCTAGCTACCTGCTGTTGACTGTGGCAAAACTTACATTTCAGGCCTCTGGATGGATGGCTGTCAGGCGCATCTATGGCGCGTGGGACATCTGGAGTAACCCCTAAGGGCAGAGCCAGAGTGTCGCGTGGCATAAGAGATCCTCCACTCCCTACCTTTTTTTTTTTTTTTTTTTTTTTTTTTTTTGTATAATTAGGTACACATGAAAAAGATTGTCTCGCGGTGAGAATCATCGATACTCAATAGGAAAGTCATGAATTATTGAGTACTTGGAGTCGATATTTTCAAGCAGAAGGCGGGTTTCGGATAGGACTTGCGGGATCTCAGGACTTGAGTGTTTACGTCTTGTCTAAGTTCGAACTCGGCAGAAGGAGATATTCAAACGGAAAATGGGTTGATACAATTTCCCTTGGATCGAGTACCTAAGGTTTATCTGGTTTCCAGGACTAGTTACCAAAGGTTCCGTGTGAAGCCCGGGCAAGAAAGGTGAGCTAGACCGTTCTCCCGTAGTAATTAGACTGTCTGTACTTTCTTCCTAATTTTCGACGCTCCTCAGCCTTCTATGCTCTCCAACCTGTATATGGCTGCTATGTTTTTCTTCTCTTCCTCTAAATACTATGTCATTCATTCTTATCCTCAAAACTAAGATTAGCAGGTGATCTAATATCTGAATATCACTGTAATGCCCTGGGCAGAAACAAGGCGTATGTGATATACTAGGTTTATTATTTAACATTCTCGCCTTAGCATGCTGTTGTGGGGATCGTGAGGACCAGGGACAGATGTGTATATATAGATTGCGTTTTTTTCTTTTTAAACGGCAATTAGAGAAAGGAGCCATGCGGTTCTATTCATTATTCTTAGATCAATACAATGCCCTCGTTTGCCTTCACTTTCACTTAAGTCTTTTTAACTAAATGGTATGATGGTTGGGAGCTGTAGACAGTACTATTGCCCTTCACAGCCTCATACAACTAGGGAGGTGGTCCCGTTCCCCCTATCCCTAGAACAATGCCTGCCCAGAAATTACTTTTTCCGAATTTATCGAATTCACCCCGTACACGAGGTCTCAATCCCATCGCAACAAAATCTTAATAAACATCTTTCCAAGGAATTTTAATAGGTGCTATCATTCTAAGGCAATCTATAATATAATACTTCATAGTATCGTGAAATATTCCATGGGAGTTTGGCCGAGTGGTTAAGGCGTTGTGTTTAGGTCATCCTCTTTTATCGAAGATACTTCAAACCGCAATGGGAAACCGCGCAGGTTCGAATCCTGCAGCTCTCAGAATTAGTAGTATTTTTTGCATCTTTCCCGACCAAAACTATTGGCCCGTGAAGTTTGTTAGTGCAGCGCCAATAAGACAGCGTTGAATGCCGGCTCGACTTATAAAGCTTATATGGCGAAAGCGAACGCTAATATCCTGCTGGCAATTAGCCCTTATATATGGCGATGCCTGGCATACGTGACAGCTTACTCAGGTTCCATGTCTCTCTCTTTTTTTTTAAAGAAATTTTTTTAACATCGATGCACAATTTAGCTTTAAAACGTAACTGTAGCCCTACATTCATTACATATTATCATAAATGTATCTGAAGTTATGTCGATATGAGGTCTCATGTCCAGATAGGTAAAGCATGTACCGCGTCATCCGTGACAACGAAGATGAGGATACGATTTGCTCAGCAGCTAGAAGACTACATGGAAATTTCTTGTAGGACCAACAGGCCAATATAACGATTTGGGGAGAAAGGGGATTCTGGGCTTCTGTTATTATTAGATACATGCTGTTCTAGGGATATGATGAACAGGAATATCTCCCCAACTGTATGAGTCTGTAAGAAACAGCAGAGCTGTCTACGACCCCCAACCATCTTGAGTTATAACTTATTTTTAAAAGAAAACAGGGGCGCTTTATTGATTAGGAAGCAACGAGTAGAATCAAATACTGCATTCTAACTATCTGTGAAAAAAGAGAGAGAAAGCCATCGTCATATATATGCATATACTTGTCCCGTGTTCCATTAGTCCCCACTACAATACCTACCTAACCATGTAAGTGTTGGTTTAAAGGCCAATTGTAGTAGAATTCCCTTTTCCGGATATTTGGGTATTTGATATCTCCAACACATCTGCAGCCCACCATACCATGCTCCACTGTCTATATGATTTTACAAGCAGTCAAGTCCATATTTATGCCTTCGTAGAAGACAGGTTAGATATGTAACTCTGCTTACATCTTAACCAGAATCAGCCTGCTAAATAAGTATTCTAAGTTGAGTGTTCAGCTTCAAGTCAAGCGTGAAGCAAAGACAAGCTTCCCGTAAACGAAGCTGTTTCTGCACACTTCTCGGCATTGATGGTTAGCTACCGCCATGGCCAGAGCCAATTTTAGACTGGGGTTCCCCGTCATTGCGTAGGGAACTATGCCAAGGCCTAGGCGGATGGGAACTGCGGCATGGAGGGTTAAAAGTTACCGGGCGATCCGCATCGCTTTTAGAACAGAGAGGCAGTGATAGATAAGTATTGAAGCATGGTGTTTCGGGGCAACATCTGCATTTATGGTTGGCTCGCTGCCCCTCTACCCAACAACCAGGTAGGTCCATTCGTTAGCAGTAGACCCGTGAACTCCGTAAGGAATCTTCCCTTGAAGCTATGCAAGGTAGGGTGTGTTTTTTTCTTTTCAATCACCCCAGGTAGGAGAATTCAGCGGTTACGACTCTTGCATCATACTTCGCATCGCGATTGGGAGATGTCGTAAAGAGGGTCCCATTGCGGCGCAGTCGCAAAGTCAGAAGAGCCGATACAACCCAACGTTGTCACTGTGTTCCTATAGGGAGATCATATCTCTCTCTATCTGTTACTGCACTTTGAATAGCTAGGTAGGTATATATATATATACTTAAGTTGCCTGGCAATGACTCGAGGGAAACGTTGTGTTACATAGCTGAGATTGTAATAATTATCTGCCTCTTCGCATCCGGATTTACTGTTCTCAAAAGGCCCTCGCAGAAGGGACTCCGGAAGCCAAGAATCGATCTCATCAATTACCGTTGTATACCCTAGCTACCTCACTAGCCAAGAATGCCCATATGTACCTATTTTGGGCTTCTCCAGGGCGATGAACGACCTTGTGGGGTCTGTTATCTCTTTGCAAGTTAAGCTTATAAGTCGACGATTCCATGGGAAGAAGTTGACATAGGATAATACGTCGAGTAGCCCCTGTTACAGGGACAATCTTTCGTGCTTTGCATGTGATAAACTACCTGAAGGATATTGTCTTCGCTCCTTTTACCCTGTGCTATCCCGGGTATCTCGAGTAGTCTACTGTCTAGCTTGTGAACCAATCCATAGATAGATAGGAACTACCACCTATCAATATGTCTGGTATCATTGATGGATATGTACTTAGGTTAGTACCTATACTCCAAACTACCTAGACTCTCAAATATTGGTTGGGGTGACTTATAACTGGGACGCTGCGCGGCCCCCAAAGTTATAGTAATGTATTGAGGTTGCAACTGCATGTGGTTTCAGGCTCAGCCATTCCTACATCAATCGATCCCGGACGCCTTTAACCGTTCGCCACATGGTTCCAACTACATAGACTATGCAAGCGCTGGTTTTAATTAGCGCCTAGGGTTGCAGCACTACTGCAAAGCCCTTGCTTTAGAGCTGTAGGGCTTAACGGTTTCTTGGTGTACCAGACATACAAGTGCTCATAACCGATGCAGTCAACCCAGCTACGTATATTGATCCTGGTGTTTATGTCTATTTCTAGAATAGCAGTTCACCGAAAAAAGATTTTTCTCATTTAATGTAGTAGAATAGTGCTCTTACATCTGTGCTGTAATATCTTACAACCGGGACGATACTGTTTTTCAAGTACTACATATTATCGTTGCTACCCATTTTTTCTTTGTGTGAGCTGGTTTACGCTTGTGTCCTATTCTTAGTCCGGGGAACATGTGTTTCTGCATACCTCTGCATGTCTGGTGGATCAGAAAGCCTGAACTCGACAATGATCGTCGAGCTGAATGTGTTGCCCATGCTACCTAGGTAGTATATCGAGTGCCGGGAACTTATCAAGCATCTGGGACATGGCAGGATAGGATCCGTAACCTTGTCGACGGGGACCAAATCTGGCAAGTAAATTCGCACGTCAGGGCTAGGTTGGTAGAGATCACTCTCCGCAACTGTTACCTACATACTCCATCACTATGCACTCGATGATACGTAAGGGAAGAATAAACTCTGCAGTTGAGATGGTATCTTTTCCCCTCCTCTTTACCTCTTAACCCAACCAACTCCCGTTGCCAACGGACTCGATCTTCAACCTGCCGCTTCTACTTGCCTATGAAGACCTTTTTGTTCTACACCATGAGATGAGATATCTGCACGACCACTGTATATTATAGTCAAGTCTGATTAAGCTATAGCGGCTCTCGACGGGTTGCCCCATCCAAACCGCCGCCTTCGCCGCATTACCACATCACCCAGGATGAATAGCTTGAGGAAAGGAACGTTTCTGTCCGTGAGGACGGTGCGCACGAATTCGAATTCGTCAACAGATAACAGTACACAGCAGAGAAGATGGGTTCTCCGCGAGTCGCTCGGTAGATATGGCACCTTTGTCATCGCTGGCGGCTTGGTTATCTCTCCCGTTATGCTTGGACTACTGGCTGCCCTATGGGCTGGCCAGGGCCCAGGCAACGGTGAGCATGCTTCGGCCGCATGGAGAAATATCGTACTGCAAGGATGGGTGACCGAGGCCGTGACGCTGCTCTCTCTCGTTATCCAATTTAGCACCAGTGCGCAGTCGCTGATCTGCACGAGCTTGACGGCCGCGATACTTCTCGAGACGAGCGGCGTGCCCCTATCCCAAGTAGCCGAGTTCTCGACTATGCGGGGTGCTAACGGCGGGCCTTGGAGCTTCATATGGCTAATGTTGAAGTCTTCGATGCGACGATTTCTAAGAGTCCCACCTATTCTGATGCTATTACTCTTCGCCGGAAGCTTCGCCATCCAGTTCGCATCCACGATCCTCGTCACCGACTTAGATGTTGTGTCGATACTTGGCTATGCGAACCACACTACTTTAAACCTCTCTAGCTCCGACGGGGTGCAATACGCGACTCCAGGTGGTTCACAATGGCACTTCGTACCGACCGATTATGCTTCGTTTGGCGAGATCTGGCCCGGACACAACGCAACCCCGAGTGCAGACGGATTCAGTGATACCGGAAACGTGAAGAGATTCTTACTACCCATGAAACAAGACAACCGGACAAAGGTCCATCATTACAGCGGTGACTCGTACGGGCTGAACTCGCGTGTAGCTTGCGCTGCCCCTGTAATCAACGGCGAGTTCCAGGCTATTGATCCAGGCTCAAGTCCGGTACCCTACCTTTTAACCATGGCGGGCAACATATCCTATGAGGATACATTCCGTAACGCCGGTATCTCGATGCCTTCTCTTTGTGCTGATGGGGTGTGTCTGCCTACCAGTTTCAACTGTTCACTCTTGACCGCCGGAATACCAGGACGGGAGGGCATAAGCATGTGCCTCCCCGATGTTACGAATACCATCGACACAGAAAACTTCACATTTTACAGCGACGGGCGCGAGAGCCCAATCACCCCTCACTCCCTGGTCTATCTGATCTCACGGACGAATGGGTCATTCGATGACTGGTCATTTATCGGAAACCTCAGCACCATCCCAACCAATGAGTCTACTCGAGAGGACGAGTGGACTAAGTGGGAGCTTGGAGACGGCTTCAACCTCCAAACCTCGTTGTGCTTCTCGGAATATCTCTGGGAGGTATCCCACACCGAGATGTCCATATCCCAAGACGTCGTTGAGCCTACTTCAAAGTACAATCTTATCGAGGAAATATGGGACGTGACCGACATCCGGACTCTGCTTGGGGTAAGGGGAGACCCGGACTACGCAGCTCGATCAATCTTTACTGTCGATGCCGTTGGCAACACGACCACCGACTCGAAAGCCCTGCGTCATCTAGATATCTCGATGAACAGCTTGATCTTCGGCATTCCCGACCCACCCGCCAGTACAGTGATCAACTGCGGCGGAGCAAGTTACGGCATCTCCGACATCAACCCAGAAGCGGACTACGCACTTGTGTTCGAGGACACGGTGCTCGAGACCAACCGGCCGGCCCTGGCCATCCAAGCGACCTTCCAGATCATGGCGGAAGCTCTGTACTACGGCCTGATCGAGTACATGGACGTGCCGGCGCCCGTCGAGATCACGAGGACAGTCG